TTGTGGTGTGAGATTGAATATTATTTCCTATTTGACAGAGCATAGCTGAAATAAAAAAAGTTTAATGAAGAACCTTAACGGTTTTCTTAGAACAGACAGAAATCTGAATGCATATGAAAGCAAGACAACTGCGCAGAGCCAACTGTCCCATGAATATAAAATGCAACTCTACATGTATCAAGCAAAATGTAAAACTTCCTAATAATTTCAGCTTTTACTGCTTTGATTATCAAAGAAACACAATTGAGTCATAGAACTCATTAATTTTCTACTATTGTATAAATTAATAAAGTTGATGTCTTCAAGTGCTCAATAGAGAAACTCTAGGATAAACTAAAGAAAATTTTCAAACGTTTATGTACTTGCAACTTTTGAAAGTAAAAATACAAACCATGAATTGGATACTTTTCTCTAATATGTAACTGCAAAATCAGGAAATCTATCAGATTTAATTCTGAAAAAGATTACCATCTCACCTCAACTTCACCTCCAAAAGCTGCTCCATACACCAAAATCTTTTTGGGAACACAACCACCAATAACGCATCTGGAGAATTAAATATATGAGATTTCACACCTATAAGCTAATTTTTTTCTCTACAACATTAACTATCAAATTTTGATCACTAATAAAGAAATCCCTTCATACCCAGATGTGATCCACCACTACTCTAACACTACATTAGTTAGAATAATAATTTACTTACGTTCCACCAACTCCCCCAATCACTTCTGAGCTGATTGGATGAAATGGAAGCTCACAGATCCCGACCTTGAACATCATATTTAAAAGTAAATGAGTAATTTATAAATCGTAAAGTAGCAGAGGAGCATGCAGAACTCAATAATTTTAAGCAGAACTCAATAATTTTAAGCAGTACCAATGGTCTAGATGCTGCAGCATACCTTAGCTCCAAAATTTGCTGAAAGTCTGGCAGCACGAACGCCACCACTTCCGGTTCCAATCACAAATAAGTCAAAGTCATAATGCGAGTCTCCTTCGTTTAGTACCTTCCTCCCCATGGTTATAGATCAGTGAACAACTGAAAACACAAATTATCAAAAAAAAAAAAAAAATTCATTAGCAGCTTCGAAATTGGAAAAATTAAATTGGCTGGTATCGTGAAACTAAATGGCAAACTTTCCCGAGAACCAAACAGAAAGTAAGAAAGAGAAGGATACCTGAAATAAGTTGGAGATTGGGGATGGAAAAGAGGTCGGACTAAGGCTTTAGTAGATCAACAGCAACAGAGAATGGAAAAAGAGATGCGCCACAGTAGAGATTTGAAAATTAATATTTATTGCTCTATTTTTTATCTTTTTATTATTACATTTACACCGCCAGCCCGAATATGGCGTTTTGGTGCTCCCGCCCGG